GGCCCGGATGAAAAAACTGTGCCCGAGATCTTGAAAACGGCCCGAACCCTATCGAAAGGGGTTTTATCAGATGTAAAAATTATAGTCATTAAAATTCCAGTGTTGCTTGCGAACTAATTTGAGATCAGTGCAGTTGTGTATTTTTAAAGCGAGGCTGACAAAAATTGAAAAGTTGAAAGATGTAAAACACGAATACGAAAACTCGAGAAAACTGGCAAGAAACGTATATAGTTTCAGTAAAAATGTAGGCCTACATGCTTTTTTCATTAATATGGCAGCAGGGAACCTTTGGAATAAAAACTTTTCTGATGCCTGGCGTTTTGCCTTTGGCTTTGCCTTCGACAAATTCAGTTGCTTCTGACAACGACAGGTTCATGTTCAGATGCGATCAAAAACATATAAAAATGAATCTGTTTTGATCTAATCAACGTTTTTCTACTAAAAGGACAACGAAAAAGGAAGGTATGCTATTTTTACATTTTTGTATTTTTTTCTTGTCGTTTCACGATAATATGCTTGAAAAGTCACAAAAATATGCTCACTTTGTTTACAATATATTTATATTAGTGAAAAATACATGACACAAATGGGTAGAGAATATATTCGTGACTTGTTTTCAATAATGCAGTTAAACCTTCTTTTAAATGGGAAAGCATTTATTTTACAATATGTGTTTAAGCTGTAATTCTTTCGCTTTTAAGTGGTCGAATACATGAGCATTTAAAAAAAATAGTTTTCTCGGCGTATAAAGTTTTTACATGCCAATTAACTTTCCGACTTTCAGTCGCATTTCTATCAACATATTGTCAATTCTGGTGTACATCGTGCTTAGTTTGAGTCTTTAGGGCTTGATGCGATTCATGATCGTATTCTGACTCGTTAGCCGGTTATGTATCGTTAGCCGGTTATGTTTTTCAAACGTTTTGAGCGGATTTTTTCGTTTAAAAAATTGCCGCGAAAACCAGAGCGGGCAGTTGCATTTCACAGCGGGAAGTTGCATTTCACAGCGGGCAGCTGTGTTTCAGAGCGGGCCGGATGCAAAAAACCGGCCCACTCTGATAGGCTTCTCAGCCAATCAGATTGCTTCATTCTGACTGATAAAAATAAATACAGTTATAATATCGTCGCCGTCTGAAAACCAAAAACTTGTCATAGAAGATTTGTTGTACGTACACGTCACGCGCAATTTAGAAATAAAACTAATTGCCATGTGAAAACTTGTCATAGAAAATTGCTGGTCCTTACTGGCTTAAAGTTTGACTTCATCAATGTATTTTCTTCTTCTTCTATGTTGTACTCGACTACTCATTGATACATTCAACGAGCAACACGCCTTACTTTGAAGTACATGCCGCGGTACATTAGTTAAGTTTGCTTTTTATAATAAAGTAAATAAAGCGTTTTTCGATAGTTCGGTAAACATATTATATATACCAAAGGATTCACTGCAAAATTTGCAAAGAACATTGCATTAAATATGCAACCGACAATACGAGAGGCAAGGTTAATATTTATAACAAAGTTAACAGACAGACTATAAAATATTGAGGGAGGAACAAAACAAAGAAAAGCTATGCACGCAATAAGAATAATTGTCTTTAAAAATTTCTTTTCTTTAAGAATTCGTTTTGCTTGAGCAAGACTTCCAGGTACGCTAGAATTTTGAAGAGCCAGGTTCTTTGACTGTTTCTTCAGTTTGAAATACGTTGAAGAGTACATCACGCAGGAAAATATTATTGCTATTACAACAAACAAGAGAATTACAATTTCATCATACACTTCTGTTCCAAAGATCAGCCGCTTTGTGGGATTACCAGTACACGCGATCCAAAGAACAGCAACCCACACAGCAATCACCTTTTCTTTTACCAACGTCCGATGTTTCAACGGGTACGCTACCATTAAATAACGGTCAATAGAAATTGAAACTATTGTTCCAGTGGACACGGTGAAAAAATAAAAAACAAACGATTTCAAAACAATTCTCCAACTTTCGACCTTAGCACTTAAATAAAAAGGCGCTACCACACATGTAAGAACATCAGAAACTGTTAAATTGATCACGAGATACGACCCTGAATTCCCGAAGCATTTTAACGGATCTTTGATGAAGGCATTCAGGAGTAATAAGTTCGATATTACTCCAAGTGAGCAGATAATTAAAGAAGGTACAAATTCATACTTCAATTGGAAACAGCTACTAGAGCCATTATTTTCAGCCATTCCTAACCAATGTGAGTGTCCATTTGAAATAAACACTATGTTGCGCTTCCGAGTTTTAATTATACCTCACTCTTTACATAAGAGAATATTAAAAATAGTTTTATAATTGTAGGTTTAAATTTTAAATAATTAAAAATAAACATATGTTGAATTAAAATTTTTAATTGTGGACCTTGTAATATATTTCATCCCCGAGCCGACGGCGCGAAGCGCCGTGCGAGGGTACTAATCCCCCCCCGGCTATTTACACCCGGAGAAACGAAAGCATTAGCGAAGTCTAAAGTTCACCAATGATCGCGGGCGTGGCTCACTGTGCGTGGGTGGTCATCCTCACTGATCTCAAAAATATGACGGACTGCCATGAATAGTGAACACTGTGATTGGTCCAATTTAGAGTTTGCATTTATGAAATAGCAAACATTTCTTGATTTGATGATTGATAAATTTCTTGCAAATATATTTCATCTTTGCTCGCATTTTTGCAAGATTTTGTAAATTTCAAGAAAGTAAGGGCGAAAGAATCGGCTAAAAGAAGGGAGCCGACATTAACAAAGGTAAGTTTGTTTTAATATTGATTTTATAATTGCTTTAAAACCCGACGGCCTTTGCGTATATGAAACAATTAACAAAACAAGACAGCATATAATTTCAGTGTATCTTTAATACTGATTCCCTTTTTTATTATATTGAAATTTTTAAATAAAAGTTATTTGCATGCGAGAATTTGAAATCATTTTATTGCAAACTCAAAGTTTTATCGGCAAAGCCATTTAATTAAAGGCAGTTTAGACTCTAGTTTAGTTTTATAAAGAACACCTTAAAACGTTTTGCGAAGCGTTTGTGGTTGAATTTTACTTTAAATTGAAGCTTATATTACGTATAATAATATACATACAAATATTACTCGACTGTGATTGGTTGGTTTCAGTGCATTTAATCCCAAAAAGCAGTGCAAAAATCTGTAACAAACTGATCTGATTGGTGGAAAAACATTGTGATGATAAAATCAACCAATCAGTTTAAATCAGTTTAGTTTAAAGAAGTAACGGTCACAGATTGCTTCGAAGCAAAACAAACATGGCGCCGCGCTACACAAAGTAAAAGTTGCCTTTTATCTTTATTTTTAAATGGAAAAGCATTTACCTTAAACAAGACTAACAAAAATTACATAGTTGAGTGGAATTTTCAAGCTGCCGGTTAGCGTTGTATAATATGATATAACAAAGACAGGAAAACTTTGGCATTAGAATGTTCGCTATAAATGCGTAAGTTAAAACTACAATTGTCTCGAACATTTTTATGTAAATTATTAATTAACAATTATACCATGAGCTCGAGTCGTATATGAGCTGATAGCCGACGAGGTGCGTAGCACCGAGTGCATTGGGCTATCAGCCATATACGACGAGAGCGAATGGTATAATTGTTTTATAATATAGTCTAATAGCCATTAACTGAAGAAATAATTAATTATTCTCAGCTACAATGTCTTGACAATTTGTTCGGCCAAAAACAGCTTGGCCTTGAAAACTTGAAATACTTTTGTTTTACAACTCGAAGACGAAGTGAAAGAAATGGTTTTAGAACCGGTATATCTCACAGAAAAGCTCAGATATATAATACAGATCTTTGGTAGTATAGTAAGTGCTTGTTGACTGCAAATTCATTTGTCTTTCGTTGCAAACTTTTCTGAACAATTTATATTCTCAATGAACATGTTTTTTATCGCTGTTGTTTCGGTATTAATTCTTTAAAAACCGTGGAGAAATATGTTCATTTTGGTTTGTGACACTTCACTTTGGAAATCACAGAAATATTAAATGTTAGGAATTATAAGTTTTTTATTTATTGATGATAAATTATATAAATATAAAATATAAAATATAAACCTCCCGGCTCTTCGACATTTTCAAAGTCTAGTGATGAGAATCAAGGAATTTATTTTATGTGGCCTAATAAATGTATTTTGCTAACCTGTCAATATTTTTTGAGAGTTCTTCCTTGTACTATTATCTTTCTCAAAGCGAAAATTTTAATTTTTTCTGCTTCGCAAAACTCGTGTACTTTTTGGACCGCCATCTTGTTTTTCGCTACTCGCCGTATATGAGCTGATATACGGCGAGTAATTCAACCAATCAGATTGCAGAACAGCTCATATACGGTGAATGACTGTATTATAATAAGTAATTGCATGGTTTCTCGTGAAATTTTGATAAACATGCACTCGTGAGTTTTTCAAAGACCTCAAATAGCGCTTGTCCTCCGGACTCGTGCTATTTCGAGGTCTTTGAAAAACTCACTCGTGCATGTTATATCCAAATTGCACTCGAAACCATGCTATTACCTATACTAATATCATACCTAACATACATATGTTGGGAAATTGATAATTTTGTAATTAAAAGTGATATTTGTAGGCGATTTTTCATTTGTAAGAATGTTCTTAAAAAATTATCGTGTTACCATGACAACTACTTTAGATACTTTAATCTAATCATTTCTCAACTCACACTGGGTGGAAAGTGTTTGTATAGATAACTTTAATAACTAAAACTCGACGTATAAAATATATGTTTCTCAATAATTCGCGCACACTTCTATCAAGCACATGTTCTGTCCCGTCATGCAATTCGCGTTCTATACCTTTTTATCCTAATCATGTTCATAAATATCCTACACTCCCTCCGTGGACCATGACTTATGACTTACAATGGTCAACAGTTTCATAACTAAAGTAACTAAATGTTAACAATGTTAATGTCTACAAACTTCCTGATTCAATGAGTACCTGTCTCTTCGCTTGTGCCTTTCTTGCTGCCTCCCGTATTGGTCTCCTTCTCAATTCCGTCTTCTGATCGTCTTTCTCTGAAGCGTTCTCCGTGTTTATCTCCTACCGTTACAATTTCTTCATCGCCTTCCGACAACTCAACCGGGTATAATTTCTGAATTGGCCGTCTAATTTCCGTACATTTTCCTCCTTTGTCTGTTAATTTCCTAACTACCGCTCCGCGAATAGCCCCGTCCTTTCCTTCTATCAGTTTCTCGATTCTACCGAGTTTCCACTTTACTCTACGTACGTTCTCTTCGTGAATAACTACAACATCTCCAACTTTAATACAATTTCCTTTCTGTCGTTTAGTCTTCTGTCGATGAGCATTGCCGAACTCAAGCAGATACTCATTCTTCCATCTCAGCCAAAAGTGTTCCTTTAAAGTTGTAAGATACGATACTCATGTTGCAACTTTGTTGTTGGTTATCTCTTCAATTCCCGATTCCTCTCCTGGCTTAACTGCATCCGGCAACGAGTTTATTCTTCTTCCATTTATCAAATGTGAAGGTGTAATTGGTTCGTCTAGGTCTTCCGTAGACACATACGTTAGCGGTCTCGAGTTTAATGTTGCTTCTATCTCCGTAAGCACGGTATAAAGTCCTTCGTTCGTGACTCTGGCATTTTTAAGAATCTTGTATAAACATCTCTTCACACTCTTAATTAGTCTCTCGAAGAACCCTCCCCACCATGGTGACTTCTCAAGGTCGAATGTCCATCGAATTCTTTGATCTTAAAGGTATTTCTTCACTTTTGGAATCTCGAATAGGGCTGCTAATTGTTTTGAAGCCGCTTTAAATGTTTTTGCATTGTCTGATTTCACCTCTCGCGGTATTCCTTGGCGGGCTGTGAACACTGATCTGTACTAAGACTAGATAACGCATCTATTGTATACAAAAGTGAAGCCGGAAGTCACCGGCCGCCACCCGATTCAAGGGTCCCACTTTTGTATAGATTTGTATTACAGATGGTAGTTTTTCGCTTTTTTCGCCTTGGCTACGTTTCTGACCAGGCCAGTTTTACAATCACAAAGATAGAAGCATACAAGAAGAATTTTGAGCAAAAAATTTGGAGTATTATGGCTTTATAACGCCGCGAAACGGGATTTACAATTTTGAAGGAGTGGAGAGCCTCGGACTTTGTTTATCAACACGAGCTCGTTTTGCTACTTTCATACAAAATCAACTCAAAATATACAAGAATTACTGTTACTCGACGAATATTCTCGGGAAATTTGAAGAAACGAAGCAGCTACATTGTGAACAAAAGCGTACAGAGGTTAGTTTTAAAATACCTTGAATACTTTTATAATTATATGAATCAAAATAACATTATATTGAGTCATTGTTAATTTGGATTAAAACATATTTGATTGTCACTTATCTTCCTACTTTAAAACATATAAAACTTCTCGACAAGCCGAGGGAATGTTCTTGACAAAGTTGACATTTAAAACTGTTCTTTAATTTTCATATAATTATAAAAGTAGCCTCAAGGTATTTTAAAACTAACCTCACTACGTATTCGTTCACAATGTAGCTGCTTCATTTCTTCAAATTTCCCGAGAATATTCGTCCAGTAACAGTAATTCTTGTATATTTTCAGTTGATTTTGTATGAAAGTAGCAATACGAGCTCGTGTTGATACACAGTCTGAACACTCCTTCAAAATTGTAAATTCCGTTTCGCGGCGTTATAAAGCCATAATACTCCAAATTTTTTGCTCAAAATTCTTCTTGTATGCTTCTATCTTTGTGACTGTAAAACTGGCCCGGTCAGAAACGTAGCCAAGGCAAAAAACGCGAAAAGCTACAATCTGTAATACAAATCTATACAAAAGTGGGACCCTTGAATCGGATGGCGGCCGGTGACTTCCAGCTTCACTTTTGTATACTATAGATGCGTTATCCAGTCTTAGTACAGATCAGTGGCTGTGAATCTCCTAAAACTTCTTATAAAGGCTTCTGCCGTCATATCACTCACAACATCCAAATGTACTGCTCGCGACACAGCAAATGTATATAACCATGTAAACCTTCTTCATGGCCACTGCGTTCACTTGTTTCACATACAGTGGTCCAGCGAAGTCCACCCCTGTGTACGTGAAAGGGTGATCTTTCGTGATTCTAAATACTGGTAATGCTGGTGGATCTGGTGGTTTGTAAGCAATTCCTTCCTGCCGTCGACATACTGCACATTCATGTATCAGTTTTCGCACGTATTGACGACATCTAACAATCCAAAATTTCGATCTAATCTCTGTCAAGGTTTCTTTTACACCATTGTGTTTTACTCTTTCGTGACTATCTCTCACTATATTAGTGACGTTACATCATGTTCCGCATCCAATATCGCTGGGTGTTTCTGCGTCGTGGTTAATTCTGCATTCTTGAGTCTGCCTTCACATCTCAAAATATCTCTCTCATCACGGTACAGTCCGAATTCTCGCTCCCATTTTCTTGTCTTCGCCTTCGACATCAGTTGAAATTGAATATCTTTTAACCAAAGTTCCTCCGCTTGTAACATGTAGTCTGTTAATGGCTTTGCTCTAACGGTCGGATCTCTCTTCGATTTCAACATCTGAATGAATTTCAACACTATCGCTGTAGTTCTCTGTAGTTTGTTTAAGCTACTAAATCTCTTACAATCGATAATTTCACCAATATGTCCTACTTCGCAAGTCGCGTTAAAGGATGACGTTTCTGAAGGTTTCTTTGACTTCTTTAATTTCATTTCCTTAATCACTTCCTCTGGAGGTTCATTCTCATTCATACTTGTTTGTTCACTCGGATCGGTGTAGATCTTCAGCCATTCTGGTCCGCTACACCACATACTCTTTGACAGTTCTACTGGGGATGTTCCTCGTGACGGGATGTCAGCCGGGTTATCCTTGCTAGCACAGTGATTCCACAGTGCTGGTGGAACAAGACTTCTAGGACTCTATTTTGTACAAACTGTTCCCACTCACGAGTTTCGCCACATATCCAGTAAAGAGCAACGTTGGTCCGAATCCGACCAACAAGGTATGGATGAAATATCTATGTATCCTTTCAATGCTTTAGGCCGTTTGCCGTGACCCGATATCGTTCACTTTCATTAAGCATGTCGTGGAACTGAAATATTTTCACTGTAACTAACATTTTCGAACACGCTGAATTCAAATCCGAAAAGTTGCCGCTCCGTAGACCCGCAGTTTTTTCACAAATTGCATTTGTATTTTCAGTTCTTCGACGAACAAAAATAAACACGCGCCATTTTGAAATTAAATAACATCACTCAGAGTATGCCGTTTAACCCGTTTTTGCTCCCCAGTCTCCGATGCTCATGACCGAGTTAAGATTTAGAGCAATGTTATTAAATTTGCTGCAAAACAAACACAGTCACGTCGTTTTAAAAATGGCTTGTCAGAGTGATTTTCAGTTTATTTGCCACTAAAATCGCTAAAGAATGAGAAATAAAAGTTTAAATTATTTATTTCGCAGAGAAAAGCAATAAGGTAGGTGTTTTCTGTGTATATTTTTTGAGTTTGTTTAAGGCTAATGGCCTATAGAAGAACAAACAAGTGATTAATAAGTGAACAATCATCAACCATGACGATTTATTCAAGTTAATAGCTCTCAGACACATATAAGGAAAGGTTAATTAAGGTCAGTCTGCTTGAAAACTCACAGTAAAATTGTTCCATATCAAGTTTGCTGTTTATGGGAATTATTGTTAGTCATAAGGTGTAAAGTAAATCATAGAAACTGTTATTCAAAAATTGATTTATCACCCCATGCCTATGAAATGTCAAGAAGGCCAACAGAACCATGAACATTTGCATAGTATAAATGATTATTATATCTGCATAACCTGCTGCTGACTTATTTATTCCGTGCTTTATTGCATCTTCAAGATTTAGACTGTGCTAGAATATACAGTATACACACAATAATATATAATTAATAGGATATACAAATAAGATTCCGCATGAATAGATTGGGTCTAAAGTTGTATTAAATGTTTTTTATTTGCATGTGGCTTTCCCCATTCAGGGCAGAGTACACAAATCTGAGCGCAGCCTGTCATTGATCACATTTAGCTCAACTGCATAGTAGAGCACCAGGTTAGTGACCTGGGTGTTTAACCTATTGCATGAGCACCAGCACTTTTCCACTTGACGAGTAAAATTGTCTGGCATTAGACAGAGTAGACTAATAAAGTAGGGTGCATTGGGGAGCAATGCAACTATTTTAAAGGGTTAAGATCCAAGCACGGCTGCCTGGGACTCATGTATTTTTCCTTATTTCTAACAGGTTATAAAACAAAACAAAACAAACAGCTTGTTTACTGTCACTTACCTGGAAAAACCAGCATAACAACATAGAAAGTATTACTTTGTCAAATTGGGCAACAAAACATTTATGCTGTTGAATATATTTTGAACTCACAGTTTTGCTTCCACCCATAGCTACAATCATGGCAAAAATTCTGTGGACACTTACAGGTGTGAACGATTAAAGTATTACTGTTCACATACACATGTTGGCATCTTCATCTCCCCCATCAGTCACAGAGATTTCGCCTAACCGATCTAGAAGCTTTTCAACAGTTAAAAAATGCTGTTTTTGCACATATGTTTGGGCAAGGCAGGTATTTGTATTTTTGCACACACTGTCCACAATATATAATGTTTTTCCAGGATTGTAGGTGGATATTCTAATTTAGGGGCTGCTTATATGAGCGGCTACTGTAGATCTCAAAACCAGGCTGATCTCTGTCAGCCAAACATCTTTCCTTGTAATTGAAGGAATTAATACAAGTTTAGACCCAATCTATTCATGCAGAATCTTATTTGTATATCCTATTCCTATTATATATTCTTGTGTGTACACTGTATATTCTAGCACAGTCTAAATCTTGAAGATGCAATAAGGCATGGAATAAATAAGTCAGCAGCAGGTTATGCAGATATAATAATCATTTATACTATGCAAATGTTCATGGTTTTGTTGGCCTTCCTGACATTTCATGGGGTGATAAATCAATATTTGAATAACAGTTTCTATAAATTACTTTACACCTTATGATTAACAATAATTTCCATAAACAGCAAACTCGATATGAGTTTACTGTGAGTTTTCAAGCAGACTGGCCTTAATTCATCCGTTCCTTATATATGTGTCTGGGAGCTGCTAAAACCTGAATAAATCGTGATGGTTGTTCACTTAATCACTTGTTTGTTCTTCTATAGGCCATTAGCCTTAAACAAACTCAAAAAATATACACAGAGAAAACCTACCTTATCGCTTTTCTCTGCCAAATAAATAATTTAAACTTTTATTTCTCATTCTTTAGCGATTTTACTGGCAAATAAACTGAAAATCACTCTGACAAGCCATTTTTAAAACCACGTGACTGTGTTTGTTTTGCAGCAAATTTAATAACATTGCTCTAAATCTTAACTCGGTCATGAGCATCGGAGACTGGGGAGCAAAAACGGGTTAAACGGCATACTCTGAGTGATGTTATTAAAATTTCAAAATGGCGCGTGTTTATTTTTGTTCGTCGAAGAACTGAAAATACAAATGCAATTTGTGAAAAAACTGCGGGTCTACGGAGCGGCAACTTTTCGGATTTGAATTCAGCGTGTTCTAAAATGTTAGTTACCGTGAAAATATTTCAGTTCCACGACATGCTTAATGAAAATCGTTTTCTAGGCATATTCTTAGGTCACGGCAAACGGCCTACTTCCTTTATATGCGTTATTAATCTTGCCAATATTAGTGCTGAAAGCAGTTCAAGTCTCGGCATAGATTGCTTCGTCAAAGGCGCTACTCTAGTTTTTGAAGCTACGATGTTCAATTGGACGCCATCTCTTGTTTCTAGCTTTAAATCCACAACCGCCACATACGCCTTCACCGATGACAGAGAAACTACTCGGAGTACAGTGGTGCACAGAAGAAGATTGTTTTGTTATCGACTGCAAGCAGTTTCTTGACGAGGAGCCCAAACAACATCCAACAAAGAAAGATGTTGTTCGAGTGACGTCGAAAATTTATGATCCTATGGGAATTATTACGCCACTGACTGTAAAACTAGCGGTGATATCTTTAGATATAACTCTGCGGTGATATCTTTAGATATAACTCTGTTGAAATAACACCGTGGTATTTTAACTGGCGTCGCTTCTCTTAATTCCTGTTGTAACAATTTCCAAGTATTGGATGACTCTTCATCTAACCGTTCATCCCATCCAATGTCTTTCTTAAGTAAGCTCTGACAAAACAGTTTCAGTTTTACAGTCAGTGGCGTAATAATTCCCATAGGATCATAAATTTTCGACGTCACTCGAACAACATCTTTCTTTGTTGGATGTTGTTTGGGCTCCTCGTCAAAAACTGCTTGCAGTCAAAAACAAAACAATCTTCTTCTGTGCACCACTGTACTCCGAGTAGTTTCTCTGTCATCGGTTGCGAACATCGCGGTCCGGTCATAGTTTTTGCAAACGATCGATTCGTCTTCTTCTTTACAAGATGTGTCGTTCTCGAATTTCTTTCTCTTCTCATCCGCAGTATTCAGATGTTTTTCATTTTCCTTTATTCTTTCCATCAGGGCTTTCGAATTGGACACAAACCTTCTGGCGTTGAATCCCCCTTCAGCTAGTCTCTTCTTCAGTTTGATGTACAATCGATAGGCTTCATCTTCTTCTTCGTCACCTGTTGCGATATCATCCACGTATAATGACTGTAACAATCTTTCTACAAACTCTGGGTCTTCACTTTGGTATGCTGAGATATGGTACTTTAAGGTTGCATTCAACAAAAACGGACTCGAAGAACATCCGAAGGTGACTCGAGTAAATCTCAGTTCGATCACGTTTGGAGTTTCTTTCAAGGGATCATCAACCCATAAGAATCTAAGCACCTTGCGATCTTCTTCAGCCACTGAGATCATGAGGAATGCTTTTTCGATGTCTCCCGCCAGCGCAATCTTGTGTACTCGGAATCTCATCAGAATATCTGCTATTTTCTCATTGATTTAATTATCTGCTAATTTCCGCATTGATTTAAGGATGGACCACCACTCTCCTTCAACGATGCATCGTAGACCACTCTAACCTTTGTGGTCTCTCTGTCCTTGCGCACTACCGGGTGAGGTGGAAGGTAATGCACTTCGCCAATTACATCACTTTCGTTGCTTGGAACCTGCTCAACAATACCTTTCTCTAACTGTTCTTTGATCACAGAGTCATATTCTCTCAGGATTCCGGGCTCTTTCTTAAGTCGGGTTAAGAATGAACTTAGTCTCTTCTCGCTAGTTTGATAATTATCATGCAGTATCGGGTGTAACTCTCTCCATGGTAAACTAACTTCGTACTTCTGTCCGTCAAAGGAAATTCGTTGGTTGAATGTGTCATAGACTGAGCTCTCGTTAGGTTTAATTCCAAGTGATTCTAACTCCTAGAACTGTTGCAGTGTTTTGTCTAATGTCTCAACGCTGTTTCTCCGGGTTTACTGCAACTTCACATTTCAGGACATGCGTGGTAACAACATTGGTAGATGAGTTAGACTGAACTGGCATCTCTTTAACTGGACCTGATAACACTCATCCTAGCTTTGTATGAAAAGCAGCTGGTCTAGATTCACCTCTGAATCACCCCTTTGTATGAAAATCAGCTGGTCTAGATTCACTAGGTTCCAATATTGGTCGACTCCCACTAGGACATCAATCGGGACGTGTCCATCGCAATCATCAGCCAACTGTAAATTTGACAGATGTGGGTTTTCACTACATGCTTCAAATATTGCCCTTGCACTGGAGCACTAATTAATGGTACACTGATAGCTGATAATTTTACATCGTCATCTCCGTCCACACTAATACACAATATACACGTCATACACCTGAATGGTTCCACCACTTGATCCAAATGGCTTGATTGTCAACGATGCTGAATGTGAGGTTACTAAATTCATTTTATTTCTAACTCTTTCTGTGACATAGGTTCGCTGACTCTCCCCATCAAGGATGATTCTAGCCTTTTGTTTACGATGTGGTTTATCTGGTCAATAAATTGTCTGGAGTAAAACTGCGTTCTTTGTGTTGACACACAGTTGATGACTCTTCAGGTACTGCGTTGTCTTTGTTCCTTTGGCCTGGCTTTGTGCTGTTCTCTGCTGCAGTTCTCTGCTTTATTCTGTTTCCCGTGTTCTACAGTTTGTGACTCAACACTCCTCATTTCTTGTCTGCGAGTTTCCCCGCCTTGAGAACAAATGCTGGTATGATGTCGTCCCTGACACTTGCCACACCGTGTTCTTGATTGGCAAGTTTTGCTTATATGATTCTTCATGGTACAAACATAACAAAGTCCACTACGTTTAAGGATCTCTTTCCTTTTCGTAACATTCGTGACTACTGTACATGCAGTTAGTCGATAAATGTGGTTGAGCACAGTAAATGCAGGTATGTTCTCTATTTCCTCCAACCACAAATGCTGATGTTGTTGTAGGATCTTTTGGGCCAAAATATTTTCCACGATTCCCTCTTTTATGTTCCTCCTGAGGGTTCTTGGTTGCTGCTACTATTTCACATCGTTCTCTGTTTGATAGTTCCTCATTAAGTTGTTTTAAAACTGATTTAAAGTTCCATGACTATGCCGATACTTTACTGCATATATCCAATCTAATTTCCTTTGGTATTTTGTTTAACAACAAAGGCAGAAATAGTTTGCCGTATTGTTCTGATTTGCACCCCAGGGACTCCAGTGCCCTCATATGGGCTTCAATGTCATCGTTCAATTGTCTCATAGCCTTAAGATCTTTCCCATTTAAAACTGCTGGTAAGTTTATCAATAAGGGACCGGTCATTATTTATGGAAGGGGGGGAGGGAAAAAATGAGGGGGGGGGGCATATGTAGAAATAAATGACTAGAAGGGGGGGCTATTAAATTTTTTCAAGAAAATGACGGGGGGGGGTTGCAATTAAATTTGAAGGAATTTGCTTAATAACCTGGTACCATTTGGTTATAAATGTTGCAACTAAATCATGGTCACTGATGTGAAATAGTCTGGATTTATCTTGTCTTGTGTGTGCTGTATGCAAATCAGTCTTTACGGATTGCAGAGTTAAATTGACAATGTATTATTACATCAGCTCTTGATGTGGTTAAATACATTTAAATTAAGCAAGGTTAACAGCGGATGTATTATGCAGGCCACATCCGCTGAGGGGAGTCTGTGACGTCATATCGATCAAAGGGGGTTGTTTCATGCCTTGTGATCAGTGCTTCGGTCTGGGTATTCATTCTGCTATTGTATGCTTTGCCTAGCTGCAGCAAGTTTTGCGCTTCGATACCTTTTCCCCACCCACCCACCCATGTTTATTCTAAAGGATTTTATCTGGTAGCTAGTATATGTCATTTTATTTTATATATAAATTTTTAATCTCACATAAAATAGGATGTATAGACCACTATACATTGTATTTCGCAGGTTTGCCTTGGCAGAATTGTCATTGCTATCTCCTTTTGCTGCTAATATTACTGATTGTTGCTCTCATTGTTGCTGCGCAGCTGCTATGGCAATACTTCGTACCATCAAGTCTAGTTGCAGCCTTAAACATGGTTACAATCGCCCAGAACAAATGGAAACCTGATTTTAGTGTTATATATAAAAATACTCCTCTTTTAATTATAATTTTCTGCTAATATATATTTTTGATCGACGTTAATATCTTGCCAGTTCCATATTCTTATTTAATAATTAACACTATAACGCCTGGGTATCCCCATTTGATGAGTAAGAATGAAAATGGGGGGGGGGGGTCAAAGAAAAATATTCTAATATGCAGGGGGGTCATCATTAAATTTCTGCCATTTAGGGGGGGGCTTTCAATTTTAAAATTTTAGAAAAGAAAAAATTCCCCTCCCCCCCCTTCCATAAATAATGACCGGTCCCTAAATCCATGTGAGTACTAATAATTTTCTGAGAGTCTCCGTATCTTTCCTTTAATAATTTAATTTAACTGCACCAGAATAATTTGATCCTGTCAGGGGAACCCCTTAATGGCGGATGCCGCTGACCCACTTAACGACGCTCTCAAATACGAAAACTTGTCGATTTCACTCAAATCTTCATTCGAGTCACTAACCGACTCAAAATTGTCCCAAAAGGATTGCCATTCAGTGAAATTTCCATTGAATGTAGACAATTGTAGCTTAGGAAGTCTAGCTCTTACCTTGCTACCGATTGAACTGCTCGATGTGTTGTGATTTCCCTCTTCTAGAGGCGGTGAACTTTCAATTTCAGGTTGATTTGCGTTCTCGACATTTTTGCCTTCGTTTTCCTTTGATATTTTCGCTTCCTCGAAGCTATTAAAGTCAGATTTATCAGTCGTGTCCGTAAACTCCGACGTCTCTTCGATTTCGGCTTCGATCTCCTCGTCTTTAATCATTCCCTTTAAAATGGACTTGTCTAGGTCGTTAATCACGTCTCTTTCGCTCTAGCGTAGACTTGTAATGCTTATATTTTTGCCGATGTGCAAGTTTTCGTTCGTCAAATATCGTCAATAGTTCGTTCGTTTCACTTATTATTCGCCGTACATGTATTTTGTGGGCTGTTCTTGATCTCTTGTCTCTCTCCAAGTTTTCTGCCATTGTAAATGCTTGAAATTCACCAAAATATCTATACTTAACTGTCTTCGGTTGCCAGAACAAACACTGGACTTCTCGCTGTGAATTTCAACTCTGTTTTCTCTTGTAATGTTATTAAAGTTTCGACTTTCCAATCCGTCTCGAAAGGACCATTTAATCTAATTATTTCTCAACTTACACTGGGTGGAAAGTGTTTGTATAGATAACTTTAATAACTAAAACTCAACGTATAAAATATATGTTTCTCAATAATTCGCGCACACTTCTCTCAAGCACATGTTCTGTCCCGCCATGCAATTCGTGTTCTATGCCTTTCTATCCTAATCATGTTCATAAATATCCTACAGATACTTTATGTTCAGAAAATACAATGATTTTGTCAGGAAGGCGAGGGTTTTTGCATGCATGCATTTTCTAGTAATTATTAGCAATACTTATTTCACATATTTTTTTCAAAACTACTAATAGTCCACGGGCTCTAACGAGCCCGTTGGTGCTTCATTAACTGTCGTTCTTCCATTGTTCGCGGTCATGTACGTCATGTGGCGCAGCGACATGCCCGTCCATTCCTTGATATGTCGTAGATCCATGTCCGTCTTGGCCGCCCCCTTCAATTGCATGGGCGTCAATCCTGGGGGGGGGATGGGGAGGGACGCGACCCCCCAGTTTTTGGAGTGGGGGGACGAATATCTATTTATCCCCCCACTTTTTAACTGTTTAATGAAATTTTGTTTCTTAGTAATCTAAAAACCCAATCCCTGGTATGCAATTCATCAAGACTTGTGATTGGAACGAAGTCATTTAATAAGATGTAGTACAACATATGACCTTTCTGTAGCCGCTGGGAGCAAATACTGACATCGCATATGTTATGTGAATAAGATTTCAAATTTGAACATGTGTTGTAATTTTTTATTTACATAGAGGCACTATTTGTCGTATTCACTTCCTGTTCTAACTGGCAAGCTGCACTGAATGAGACAATAATTCGTTTTGCTTGTTTTTGTTTTTTATTATTACGCCCGTAAAAAGTATTTAGAACTTATTTACATTTTGTTTTTCTATTTTCGATAGGCTAGGGGCATTCAAGAAACCTAATAGGCTTTTTTTAAGACCCCTTAAATAGCATACCTCCGGACCTTCCTAATTTGGAGTCCGTCCCCTCACTTTTTGGGATGGATTGACGCCCTTGTAATCAATTGGTCCCGTCAATGATACCAGCTAGCATAATAACGTTCTGATCAGTAATTGATCGCCATTCATTTTACATACGTGCCCAAACAACTGAACCTTGCTCTTCTTGATGGTAGTCACAATATTATCTACCATTTACACACATTACCTGATCTCTTCGTTCGTCACATAATGCAACCACTTCATACTCAGTAACCTTCTACAGCACTTCATCTCAAATGCTCGCAGCCCTCGCTCATGATCTTTCTTCAACGTCCATATCTCGGAAGCATACAACAGCGCTCTGAAAACACAAGCACGCAGCAGTTGCAGCTTCGTTTCTCAGCGCAATTAACCACGGCATCCCATAACTCGTTCAGGCCAGCCAGTACACCATGTGCTTACTTCAGTCGCCATCCCATGTGATCATGATCAAGCTATTCAAACTTGCTGACATTCTCTAGCTGCCCACCATTTAGAAGTAGCCGCTGTTCAGTGTCCTGTTGCCCTATCGTTTTTTCTTCTCCGAGTTGGTCTCAAGTCCAGCTGACATGGCCTGTATACTGTACGTCCAGCGCTTCCAGTTAGCTTTGCATGTCATTCCGTGTATACGACAAGATATCAAAATTATCCGCATGCTTCAAGTTGTCACTTGGCGCTCAGATAGATAGTAAACCCGACAGACGAGATTGGATCGCCTTGTCGTAAGCCCTTCTGCAGCTGAAACCAATCTTTGCACCACTTGCCAATCCTCATAGTCGCTTTCACGTTCTGATTCATTGCCCGCGACACTCTCATCGACTTTGCGTTCATTCCAAACGACTTCAGTGTTGCCCATATAGTACATCACGGTTCACAGTATCGAAAGCTTTTCGGAAGTCCATAAAACAATTGTAGACATCACGGTCCTTCCTCCACATCTTTTATGCAATGATTCTCAGTGCCAGAATTGCTGCACTGCCCTTCTGTCCTTCCTGAAGCCAGCCTGTTCGTTTGACAGATAAGGTTCAATCTCATACTCCAATGAAATTACCAGCAGCACCTTGCACACGCTGTTTAGTAGCGACAGTGTGTGGTAGTTGTTGCAGTTCAGCGAGTCTCTTACCCCGCTTGTGATGCTATCAAAACTCTGTTAATGATATCAAATATAGTACTGACCAAGATGGCGGTCTGCACGCTGTTTTTGGTCAAAATATTTTTTGGTCAAGGTACGAAAAAGTTGTAAAGAGTTTTCATATATAACTTGAAAAGTTCTTTCAAATAAGACAAAGTTAATTTTTATTGCCATATCACTTTAAAATTGGATTGTCGCTTTCTCCACTGTGGGGATACTCTTGTCATTTCGATCGGGCACTCGATCCACGAATTGTCGTTCCTCACAGTAGAGGTCCACACAATATTCAGTCCATTGCCCCCATCACTTCATCCTTATCATACAACGCATTCCCATTCCTTTCCTTGATCGCTGATAATTGATAAACGAGTCTCGAACTCCGACCTTTTACCTTCTTCACCAGCTCGTACAGCCGCTTTGATTTGTTCTTGATTTTGTCCACTGATTTTGTCCCTTCTCGCAGACCTACGCACTCCATTGCAAATACGTCTATATACAGCTATCTTTTCTTCGGATTGTAAGCGTATGCTCTTACATTGCCGCCTCCTGTCTGCCGGTTCCAGCGGCTCTGGACTAATCCACGGGCAATACGCAATTTTTATTGCCCTGCGACGAGAGCCGAGTTTAAACGGCAAAAAGTATCTAGAAGTCTTTCAAACTATTCAAAACGAAGAAAAATAAACCTAAAATAAAGCAAAAGAGCAACTGCTGTGGTTAAAGAACTTTCTCAATACGTTTTTGTTAGCGAAAGTCAAAATTACAAGGTAAATTTTACAGTGTTTATAACTATTAAAGCAGTCAGGAATAGTTGTGTTTTGACTACGTGAAGAGCTGCAAATTTATTTGCAGATAGCCAGGAGGAATTTGACACCATCCTAAATAAAAACTACAACTAAAGCAGCCACAGATTTTAATTATAATTTTCCCCTGAAAATTTCTGTTTTTGTTAGATAAAAATAGACATAAATATGAGATAAAGCGAACTAAAAACGTACTTGTCCATACTGTTTATTAATTTTATTGTTTTTATATTTGTTGTCTTTGATTAAATGACGAAATACCTCGTATTTTTCTTGAAACACTATCCAAACTGTGTTAGTATTCTATATAAAAAGTGCTGTAGAGTAGTTTTACTAATGTTTCGGACCTTGTACTTTGTACATCGCGTGACCTTTTTTCCTATTTTTGCAAACGTACAATGTCATATAATAAAAAAGTTACTGACCTCAACCGTTCGGGCAGTGCGGGAAAATATCCAACCTCGGTCTTGCTGTATTGACCACGCTATCGTTCGGTCAATACAGCAAGACCTCGGTTGGATATTTTCCCGTAAGTTATTAATATACAACGGTTAATTAAATTAATTAAAAATGTTAATTAAAAGTGTTTCTGACTTTGCTATCGAGCAATATTGTGAAATTCATTGTGCATGTTTACGTTTACGTCGTTGTATGTCATATTTATCTTGAACCAATGGCCGGCAACTCTTTGCCAAGATGTATTTATACGCATGACATTAACATGTTCGCTTCGGACAAAAAATAAAACAAATTTCTTCAAAAGACCTTGGATATATTTTTATAGCTTTATTAATACATGCATTTTAGAGTGGGAAGGGGTTTAGAAATACTTAAATTTCTTCACTGAAAAGTATACGTTTTATCGAAATTTAGCTGTAGATAGCCTGGATGAAAATTGCTCCACAAACGTCATCATTGGAAAATACATCTGCGATATTTCTATTGGCTCTCGAAGAGTCGGATAATGTGCCCCCCCCCCACGAAATCACATTTTGCCCCCCCCCCAGGAAAAGTCCCTTTTTCCTAAAATTATACAAACAAACCAGCGAAGAATAACAAATATATAAACGGAAAGAAAGTTTTAGGCTTTATCCTTTGTCCTTGTTTAACAAAATCGATTTAAATTGTTACGTTTTTCTACCACTAAGTAATCATAAATTATTGTTACTATTTTTTTTATTTCTTGGATGCTCAGAATGCAGGAAATAGTATTTCCGGGTTTCAAGTTTCAAAAATTTTCTGGGGATTATGCCCCTACACACGTGGCCTTCGGGCATTGGTATCCCACTCCGAATAAGTAATGATAAATTACGGTTCATTACTTTTTGTGCATTTTTTCCTTCTTTTATTTCAAATACAAGTATAGTTAGCATAAATTTTGGAGAAAATTTGGATGCTCAGAATGCGGGAAATGGCATTTCTGTGCTTCAAATTTCAAAAATTTTCTGGGGGAGTACACCCCCAGACCCCCCATTCATGTGTGGTATGTTGGCCACACACGTGACCTTCAGCCATTGCTATCCCACTCTAATATATTATCTCACAGAAAGGTCCATTTTCAAAAAGTGCCCCCCATGGGAAAATCCTTAAAAAAGGCCCTGTCACGTCAGTCATTCTGAAAGTTAGTTAATTTCGTTAACAGTTTCCGCGACCTGTGCGTAAAAATGGTCACCCGGTTTTGTTCGCGATTCTTGAGCAGGGTTTTTGATAACTA